CTAAAAGCTAACAGATACTTCTTAAAGTGTATGTCCCTCAGGTTATAACATGTGTTTCCATAATGTCATAAGCTTGTCAGTCCCCTAAGAGCACAGAAAATGATGGCAACCCCTCTAGAGAGATAGCATGAGATCAGAGTGTTCATTTTATGGTTTGTTTTGGTTTTTTTGGGAATCATCTTGTCAGGTAAATGAAATGGTGATTTCCAATATAAATGACAAAAGAGAGGAAAAAGTTCTGGGTGTGAAGAAATAAGGATAATAGGAGAAAAGGAGAGGAATCCTTTCAATTCCATTACTTTGAGATAAAACAAGCCAGTAGGAGTCTCAATCAAAAGGTGACTACTGCTACTCCCAACTGCAATAAATCAATCTGAAAGGCAGAAAAAGGGAAAGCCCATGATCAGATTTTGTTTTGGGGGCACCTGGCTGGCTCAGTCAGTAGAGCATGCGACTCTTGATGGCAGAGTTTTAGGTTTGTACCCATGTTGGGAACAGAGATTACTTACAAATGAAATCTTATATAGATAAAACATTTAGAAGATTTGCTTTCAACCACAAGGTAGGCGCAAAAGTTAAAAGTGGATTGACAAAACTGTTTACCAATAGGTAAGAAATTATAATTGAAATTCATAATATTGACATTCTGGAAACATATTCTGAAAACAAACATCATTCACAGACCTGATAGCATCAGATGGTCTACTAAGAACCATTGAGAAAGACCACAGGTTAATTAAAGAAAGGATTAGGGGTTTTCCAGGGAATGTAGTCACCAAACATGATCTAACACTCAAAATACAAATTTAGAGTATCCCAAAGGATGTGAAAATTATTACCCTAATTAAAGCTTTATAAGCTATTTTAAAAGAAAACATTTAAACATTTAAAAAGAAACACTTCTAACCAAAAGAGCCTATTTCTGAAATGAGAAAGTAATTTCAATTTATTTCATGGGTCATCCATAAGGAAACATTTTCTGCATCCTGTTAATTAGTTATCCAAAGCAAGATAAAAATATGTTTTAAAATTGTCTAAAACTATTTTGACCAAAGTAAAATAAAAACATCTTTGCTTGGGATTATCCGGGTAATAGATTATCATGAGAAATAAAATGCATTGTTTATAATAGACCTCAGTATCATACCAAGCTGAAGTATTCTCCCTTCAAACTTCTAATGTTAGGTCTATCTAATAACTGCTAGAACTGTATGTCACTAATAAGATGAAACATACATGGAAATAATTCTCAAAGAGAAACAGTATCTGAGAAATATTCAAACATTTATTCTGGTGCAAAGCTAACCAACTGAAGTACCTGTTGAATATATACTATGTGCAGATGTCCTAGGCACTAAGGGTGCAGTAGTAAATAAGAAAAAGTATCTCTCTCATGGCACTTACTTTCTAGTGGGGGAGACAGACAAAAAGCAAATAAAAAGAAATACTAAAGTAGGAATGTATGTTGTGAAGAATATAAAATAGGGTGATATAAAGAGAACAGAAGTGTAACACTTTGTACTGGATGGTCAGAAAGAACCTCAAGAAGGGATGTACAAGAAGATACACAGAAGTACAGTTTATTTAATAAAATAAGTTTAAAATAACCTCAATTCCATCAATATTAGGGATAATAGATCAATTATAATATATCTATACAATGCAGCGCATATAAGAAGTGTAACATATGTAGCAAAGTTTTAAAATTTCCACAACATATTGTGAAATTAAAAACTGAGGATGCCAGTATCACATACTGTGTAATAATATTTATGTAAAAATAGTATTAATTTCTATGGCTGTATATATACGTCAGTGAATAAGTGGATACCTCAAATTATACATAACAAAATATAAATAGAAATAACCTTGGGGATATGGGTAGATATAGACAACCAAGTTTGTGATGATTAATGGGGTCTTTTGCCTTAGAAGTTATGTTTTGAAGTTTTATAACTAAAAAATACTCAGGTATTAATTTTGTAATAAAAATTAATTTAAACAATTAAAAGTAGGGCAATTTGATGTGCAAGAGGGGAGGGGGATAAGGAGTGGGCAAAATTAGTGAAGGGGATCAAAAGGTAGAAAATTCTAGTTATACAATAGACGACTCATGGTGATATAATTTCCAGCATGGTGACTACAGGCAATAATAAGGTGTTGCATATTTGAATGTTACCAAGAGAGTAAATCATTAAAATTCTCATCACAAGAAAAAATTGCAACTATGTGTGGTTATGGATATTAACCCAACTGATTGTGGTGATCATTTTGTAATACAAACAAATATTGAATCATTGTGTTGTACACCTGAGACAAATATAATGTTATATATCAATTATACCTCACTAAAGAAGGTAAGACAATCTGATAACATAAACCAAAATTAAAAGACAACTTTTTTTAAAATAAGTTTCACACCCAGAGCAGAGTCCTACAATGGGGCCTTAACTCACAACCCTGAGTTCAAGACCCTGAAATCAAGACCTGAGCGATGATCAAAAATTGGATGCTCAGGCAACTGAGCTACCCAGAAGCCCCAAAAGACAACTTCTTATTTCAACTTTATTACTGCACTCTTGAAATATCATTTAAGTCAACTCATTTCTATATAAAAAGTAATAGCCTTATCTCTTCACGACTAACTATACTTAAAGCACTTATGCTCAAAGTTGAAATCATATCATTGGTAAAACTATTGTGTGTATATATGAACATGATAAAAATAAATCAGCCATGAAGAAAATAAATAAAGTTGCCTTAACCTTCATAGTTTAAAACTCACCCAGAAAAACAACTTAATGATAAAACGCTCTGGTTAAAGGGTGATGGGATAGAAGTTCTGTCAGTTTTTATTATTTTTCAAGTACATCAAAGAAACATGAACTACACTGATTCTTCAGATAATCTACTTTGAAAGGCAGCTAGCCACACCTCTGACTGGATACTTTTCTTCAAGGACAACTTAACAACTGAATTTTGTAAGGTTAAAACACGTGGGTTTTTCTTTTTTTTTTTTTGGTCTATTTTTGTGATGGATAGGAGTCATGTTTTAGCAGATGTTGGAGAAAAGAGTGTGATTGATTGCCAAGAATATTGTTGACCTCAAACACTAATATCTTTATAAATTAAACTTAAAACCTTAGACATTCTGTGAAAGAAAACCAAAAGAGTCACACAATAGGGGAATGCTGTTTCTTCTCATAGTATTCATTGGACAGTCCCAAAGGTCTTTCAGAATAACTAACACTTCCCCTGTTTGGATCAACACTGAAGATCAACACTGAAGCATGTTATACCCACTAAAAAGAGAATAAAACTAAATCCAAGTTGGTTATTATTCATGAAGATATGCAAGTAGATATAAACAGGAGTTTAAAATGGTATAGTCTTAAGTAGAAATCATTCAATGAGATTTGTGTGGCATTTCATTCTTTCCTTGGCTATATAACATACTAAGCAGTGCCTTAGAATATACTACTAGGGCCTTTTCTGGCTATTGGTAAAGATCAAAGCTTGCAAAAAATTTCCTACCATGGATTTCTGTATCATATTTCAAAAGAAAAAAAATGACATCAGTGAGGACATCCATCTCATGTTATTACCAGGGCAAGTTGGGATTCTTTTTATGGCACTAGGGTTCCTGGGTGAAGAGGTTCCCTAGAATATCAGAATCTATAGCAAAATATGCCCAATGTCACTGATTAATCATCCACATAGATACTGTAATTTAAATTGTATCAGTTCCCTAAAAATAACCACATTGCCAGTAGGTTTACTCTTTACCTAGAAATTCTAATCATGCCTTTCTAGACTCTCCAATAACTACTGGTGAGAGGCAAGTAACATAATAAAACCTCAGATGTAGATCAGATATTGGGTGAAGAACACTGGAGAAAATCTTAGAATACCTAGAACTCAACAATGTGGTTCCCTATCTAATAGCATCGACACAGAGATATTGGCTTTTGGAATTAATTGATATTTATTATCTCCCCTTCAGGCAAAACAAAACAAAACAAAACAAGATTGTATAATCTGGAAATAAATGTACATAGTATTTAAAATATAAGAGTCTACTTAAAAGTTAATCAGGATTTTTCTGCTCTTTGAGTCCTTCCTTAAAATCTCATAGAATTACTGATAAGATTAAGATGATTTTGACCAGATATATTACAATTACTTATAGAAAGGAATCTGTTGAAGAATTATTAATCCTTATTTATTACAATTGTTTTCTTTTGTCTTCATGAATTCATAAAATAGATGAATAAGACAATTAAATGTCACTCAATGTTTTTATAATAAAATAATTTGAAAGGGCCATATAAATATCGCATTACTCTGATAATAGGCTCAAGGTCATACTAGTAACATATTGGCCTAATGATTATAGAGATTGCTATTTTATTGTGCAATGCTAAGCTGAAGTTCTAGGGCAAAATGTTGAAATATCATTTGAGCTCCTATGACTTTAAAATACTAGAACTTCAAGGGGTACACGGGTGGCTCGGTTGGTTAAGCGTCTGACTTCAGATCAGGTCATGATCTCACACTGTTTGAGTTTGAGCTCTGTGTCGGGCTCTGTGCTGACAGCTCAGAGCCTGAAGCCTACTTCACATTCTGTGTCTCCCTCTCTCTGCCCTTCCCCTGCTCATGCTCTATCTCTTTGTCTCTCAAAAATAAATAAGCGTTAAAAAATTTTTTAGTTAAAAAAAATACTAGATCCCCTAACAAATCCTCATGGGATTTGCATAGCAATGTGCCTTACATTACATATTAGGTAATGCAATCCTATTTTGGAGTGTAATCGGATGGCATCATCACACACAAACACATTCATCATCTTGTCCTGCAGATTCAAAAAGCAGAATGTTTTCTGAGTGTAACACACATCCCACTAACTTATCACATTCCTGTTGACTAGCAGGCAGCTGAAATAACTTAATGTGCTTTGAATATTTAATCCAAAGTAATATAAGAAAACATCTGTCACTTACGTTTTTGAGTCATCCCACAATACACAATAGGGATTCAAAGTACCCTAAAAATAAGCAGAGAAAGAATAAATATATCATGAATACATACAACAAAAATGGAAGTTTTATATGAAATGCAAACAGAATGGTGGTTTTCTTATCTTGCTGTATGAATTTCTCAAGATTCCACCTCTATTTTTTTTCTTGCATACAAAATTTGTATGCCTTTTCTCATAGATTTGGTGATGCATTTTATGAAATTCTATTCATGAAGACAATACATTTATTATAAATACCATAACCTATATTTAGTTATTTTGAAAATTGACAGTGAAGCTCTCATATAACACAAGGTCTATTTTTAATGATCTCTATTTCATTATTTTACTTGTAAAATATTAATTGCTGGATTATTTCCTTCAGGGACCGAAGTATCTACATAATTTAAATCATGGTGAAGCATTCTGTATTATGCACATGTATGAACACCACTGCTATCTCCATTACTCTAGTTGGTCACTTTTCTAGGGGCAAGAGATAGTAGCATTAATTGTCCATTTGCAGAGAGTGTGTTGGCTTGCAATAACTTTTTTTTTTTTTTTGCCTAAAACTGGGTTTATTATGTGTGGCTGTATTTTTAAAAAGCAACATATTATTCAATAATGATGATGATGAATGAAATAAAAATCGATGCACCTCACAGCAGTCTTTGAGTTGGTTTTCTCTTAAAATATGAAGAATGTGAGTGTCATTAAAAGATATTTTAAGTACAAATTTGTACTTGATATGCAAATTTGTCTGCCTATCAAGTCACTCATGGCTGCCCTCTTGGGGTGTAGTTCACAATTAGCATGAACTAAACCAGATCCACTATTTAACAGTCCCTTTGCGTGTCTCCTTAATTATAATAATTATACCTATTGAATGAGATGGAGATGGAAGCATAAAATAGGATGTTCTTTCAAATTTGGAAAGAAATAAAGTTTAATCATTTCCTTCCTATAAGCCTAATTTAAGGTGTTACCTCTTAAAGACCATCTCATTCTTTTGAAATCCAGAAAAAAATGCACACATGACCACATCTATACCATGGGAAAGTGTTATTTCTTTTTTCTAATAGTTTACAGACAAGGTTATATTAGTTTTGGGTGTACAACATAGGAATTTGACAAGTTTATATGTCACGTTTTGCAGTATCTTCTTAATCCACAGATCACTTTTGTACAGATCACATTTAATGAAACTATGTTTAAAAAAGGGCCAAATTTTTATCAGTTCAATAATTATATATGTGTGAGTGGCCACCAAGACCTTCAGCATGTTACAAAGAGTATTGTCCACACTGGATTACCTTGGGTAGTGCTTTTTGTTTTGAAGAGTACTAATTGTTGAAGTGTTTTCCTTCTGTCTGTCTGTCACATTCACTGTGCTTTATTTTGTCCTTTTGAAACTAGTCTAATGATTCTTCCTTTACGTGATATCTTTAGATAGCTACAAATGCTATTATATCCCTGAAGAGTCTTCTCTATTAAACATACTTGGTGGATTTCAAGTTCTCTCACTCTCCACATCACTCATTTCCTGGAGCACACATGTTTAAAGTGCATTTAGGGCAACTATCCATGTGTATCCTATGTATAGAACAAAGTGGTGCTCTTTCCATCCCCTTTAGGTACCATATTCCTAATAATGCAGACTAAGACTATATCAGATATATTTGTAGTCTCTTCCTCAGCTTGATGACATATACATTCAAGTCTCTTAGGAGAGACTTTTTGAATCTTGATTTTGTCATCCCACACATTCACTATTGCTTTAAAACTTTTAATCTTTAGAGGATTAAGAGACAAACACGGTATCTATTACCTCATCCAACCAAGTCATTAATAAAAATGATGACTAGGCCAAGGCAGATAAAAGTTACAGTCCTGAAACAGGGAACTGGCTCCATTCCATAGGTGGACACGTTCCCCCCATGACAGCCAGCTCCCATCCTCAGTCTTGTCTTATATGTAGATAATCACTGAGGTATATCTGGCAAAACAATCTCTTTAAAAGTTTAGGCAGGTTTTTTGTGACCTGTTGCCTTTCTAAGTGCTGTTTTCTGGGTCCATTCTAGAATTTCACCAGAAATAAAATTTTAAAAGTGATTCTAAAATGTTTGCAATCTACCCAATTTTATTTTTTCTTTTAATTATGACATTTGATTAATTTCAATATTTTAGCACTGTTACCATTCTTCAAAAATCCTTCAAAGACCACATAGCCAAGGTATCTTACTTCTTATCAAATGTTCATACCCATACCCTATGCTTTTAGAGCATAAAAACACTGCCTTCCCTGAAAAAAGTTATAGTCTTATAGAAGTTGATGAGGAATACACATATGGAATGTTTATATAACAATAATTAGACATGCTTTTATAAGTGTTACTAGTCATAATATACTATGGAAGGGACAAATGAGGAGCGTCATGGCTTGCGTTAGTCAGATCAAGTTTCAAGGACTAAGTATGTCATTAATGTGGTTCTACAAAAGACACAGATCTGGGGAGGGTCACAGAAGGGAGTGGTGCTTCAAATCGTTTTCTTTTCCTTTCCTCTTTCTTGTTCTTTCTTTATTTTTCAAATTTTTTTCTTCCTTGGTCCTATGAGACCCTATCTGGTTTTAGCTTAAATTTTCATTCAGTTTGTGAATTTCTAAGAAATCCTTAGCATAGCTACAATATTGTTTCATAAAGTTATGCTGTATTTATCTGGGATTTGTTCAAAAGAACTCAGAGCACTTTATAGAAAATAAGTTATCCTTGAAATATCACAGTGAAGGATATGTGAGTATATATTTAATTAATATAGAAATTAAGTATAGGTTAAGAACCAGAGATAATAGTTCTTTTAAATCTAGTTCACTTCTTTTAGTAATGTATGAGTTGAAGTTAAATTTCTACATAAACCATTACAGGATACTGATTATAGGATTAATATTTCATGTTTAGAGTTCATAACAAATTACAACAAAATTAAAACAATATTAGAAAATGAATATAAAATGAACTTAATTGCTTGGATATATCTTTCCTTTTAACTCCCCTAAAGAAACTGATTTCCACTTTCAGATAAAAGCATAAAGGTGAGGGGGCGTCTGGGTGGCTCAGTCGGTTAAGCGGCCAACTTCAGCTCAGGTCATGATCTTGCTCGCAGTTAGTGGGTTCAAGTCCTGTATTGGGCTCTGTCCTGACAGCTCAGAGCTTGGAGCCTGCTTTGAATTTTGTAACTCCCTCTCTCCCTGTCTCTCCCCTGCTCATACTCTCTCAAAATAAAATAAATGTTAATTTTTTTTTCAAAAAGTATGAAGGTGAGAAATGTTTGTTCTTTTCTTAATCCATGCCATTGTTAACCCTTAGTTTTATCCTCTACCTTCTTCACCTTTCATCTTTTGGATCTTATCTCATACTTCTCTTTTTCTTGTCCTTGTGAAAATTTAAAAAGTGTCCAGATGAGGATTATTAAAGGTTCCAAAATGCACTCCTCTTGTGCTTCACTCCACTTTCTGAAACCTACATGACAAACACCCCCCTCTGTGAGCATGCATTCTAGTGCAGCTACCAATATGTAAGTCTGTGAGCTGTGGTCAATTATTTAAACATTTGAAGTTTAGAAAGCTAAGCATAACAAATGAATCAGAGGAATCTTAGTATCTGGATAGACCAGTCGCTTAAAGGAAAAAGAATGTGTGATGGGAAACATAAAGCAAATATCAATGACAAATGACTCCTAAATATGAAAAAAAAATGGCTAAAAAGTTCTTTGAGAAATCACTTATAAAATATTTGTTATAATTTTTAGATACTTTTCTCAAAGGTACTCTGCTACAAGATCTGTTATGAGGAATTTACAGGAAATCAATACCAGGAAATGTGAGCCCGAGAGTAACAAGTGTGATGACAGGAACAGGGGAAGAAAAGAGAGCTATACACTAGCCTATAGAAGTAGATTTAAGAAATGCACCAAGCTAAGGAAACAAAAAATTCTCAGCCAAATGAGATAAATGTGCATAAGAAAATTCATTTACAAAGCTGTTAATATCATTGACACTTAAAATATTAAAACTTCATGTATTTGAAAACCTTTGGAAATAAACTACCTTCTTGAAAACCACAGTTTTGTTAAAACTAGCAAGCAAACAAAGAAACAAATAGCAACAGCAAAAAACTGTCTCTCTTGACCCCAGGCAAAATAGAATAGTTGAACTCAATTTAAATATTTCTATTCACCTACATTTAAGCATTTAAAAAATGTACCATGACTCAAATTTCCTAATTACCATAGATGCTCTACATACCACTTTCAAGTGTCTTTAATAGTCTTTGCTGTTTGTTGTGTTTTTTTTTTTTTTAACTTTTACTTCTTTTACCTCTCTCCCTGTTTCTACATCAACAAAACCAATATACCCATTTAACAGTATAATATATCAATGGCTTTGTAAATGTATTTCCATGGGCGGATCTTTGTTTTCCTTTGGTCTGCATAACTTTCTTGTTATTTTATTTTATTTTATTTTTTATTTTCTTTATTATTTATAAAGGATTTGGACATCCTTTCTAGATGTACACCTCAGTGATTCATGAATGACATTCATAAATGAATTCTTTTTCTTCTTTCAAAACTCTTTCAAGTCTTTTTTTCCCCCCATACAGAATAGTTTAAATACATCTCACTATGGTAAATTACTCTCACTATGGTAAATTTCATTTAGTCATTCATGTAAAGGTCACTTAGTAAACCCCTATTACATTCCAGGTACCCTTTATTTATTTATTTATTTATTTTAATATTTTTTATTTATTCCTAGGAGAGAGAGAGAGAGACAGCGTGAGCAGGGGAGGGTCAGAGAGAGAGGGAGACACAAACTCTGAAATTGGCTCCAGGCTCTGAGCTGGCAGTCAGCACAGAGCCCGACGCGGGGCTCGAACCCACGAACCGTGAGATCATGACCCAAGCGAAAGTCGGACGCTTAACCGACTAAGCCACCCAGGCGCCCCTCCAGGTACCCTTTAAAGCACTGA